TAACGGCCTGGACGTCTCTGTGAGATGGTTGCAGTTCCATCTTTGTTCCATTTTTGTATCACTTTTGCTCCAGTATTCTGACTGATAAGTAAAACTTTGCTGATCTTCTTGTAGCCTTCACCTTTCTTGTGTAAAGAAATGATTTTCTTTCTCAGGCCTTGTGACGTTTCTCTTTCATGTGTTGCCATTGCCGACAGCATTAAATGGGAGGGGCTCTTTGTGAAGTAACGCCCTTTTTTAGTCACCTGTCTGCTGGACACCTGTTTCATGAATAATTAGACTCACCTGGAGTTGAATTCTTGTTCATTAGGATTTTGTTGTCTACATTTTTGCTCCTAAGACTTTCATTGGGGTGTGTTCATTTTTTCAACATGGTCTTGGATGAATTTGCTAGAAAAAATACTTTTTTTGTGTGTGCAAATGAACAAATCTTGTCTGCAATCAATGGCCGGCATTTGTGGGAGGATTTTGTAGTAGGGTGTCCCACAGAAAATGTGGATTCTGAATGTGGATTCGGGGTCCTTGTGCCTCTCCATTCTTCCTCCATACTCGGGGCCCTTGTACCTCTCCGTTCTTCCTCCATACTCGGGGCCCTTGTGCCTCTCCATTCTTCCTCCATACTCGGGGTCCTTGGGCCTCTCCATTCTTCCTCCATACACGGGGTCCTTGTGCCTCTCCATTCTTCCTCCATACTCGGGGTCCTTGGGCCTCTCCATTCTTCCTCCATACTCGGGGTCCTTGGGCCTCTCCATTCTTCCTCCATACTCGGGGTCCTTGGGCCTCTCCATTCTTCCTCCATACTCGGGGTCCTTGTGCCTCTCCATTCTTCCTCCATACTCGGGGTCCTTGTGCCTCTCCATTCTTCCTCCATACTCGAGGTCCTTGGGCCTCTCCATTCTTCCTCCATACTCGGGGTCCTTGTGCCTCTCCATTCTTCCTCCATACTCGGGGTCCTTGGGCCTCTCCATTCTTCCTCCATACTCGGGGTCCTTGGGCCTCTCCATTCTTCCTCCATACTCGGGGTCCTTGGCCTCTCCATTCTTCCTCCATACTCGGGGTCCTTAGTTTCCAAATGAGATGCAAAAGTTGCTCCCATCAGAAAAGAGGACTTTGGACCACTGAGCAGCAGACCAGGTCTGTTTTTCTTTAGCCCAGGTAAGACGCTTCTGATGTTGTTTGTTGTTCAGGAGCGGCTTGACAAGAGGAATACGACATTTGAAGCCCATGTCCAGGATCCGTCTGTGTGTGGTGGCTCTTGATGCACTGACTCCAGCCTCAGTCCACTCCTTGTGAAAGTCCCCAACACTTTTGAATGGCCTTTTCCTGACAATCCTCTCCAGGCTGCGGTCATCCCTGCTGCTTGCGCACCTTTTTCTTCCATACTTTTCCCTTCCACATAACTTTCTATTAATGTGCTTTGATACAGCACTTTGGGAACATCCAACTTCTTCTGCAATGACCTTTTGAGGCTTTCCCTCCTTATGGAGGGTGTCAGTGATGGTGTCAGGTCAGCAGTCTTTCCCATGATTGTGATTCCTGCTGAACCAGACTGAGAGACCATTTAAAGGCTCAGGAACCCTTTGCAGGTGTTATGGCTGAATGATCTGATTAGAGTGGGACACTTTGAGCCGAGATTATTCCACCTTTTCACAATATTCTCATTTTCTGAGATTGTGGATTTGGGGTTTTCATGAGCTGTAAGCCATAATCATCACAATGATGACAAATCACGGCTTGAACTATCTTGCTTTGCATGGAATGAGTCTCATATATTAGTTTCACCTTTTAAGTTGCTGCACTGAAATAAATGAACTTTTGTACGATATTCTATTTTTTTTGAGTTTCACCTGTATATGTGTATATATATATATTACTGTACACCAGTGGTTCTTAACCTGGGGTTCGATCGAACCCCAGGGGTTCGGTGAGTCAGTCTCGCGCGGGTTCGGCGGAGGTGAAGACCCACACCCGACTCATATGATTCGTGCAGTAAATATTCATTATTATGTTTTTGTTTTTGTGTGAAAATCATGTTTTAATGGTTTTGTTCTTTGTTCTTAACGGTTTTTGTTCATTTTGTGCACCTATGTATAAATACAGTTGTGACCAAAATTATTCAACCCCCACTGAAATTGAGTGTTTTGGCCAGTTTGACATTGCTTTTGATCATTCAGTCATCTTGCTTACATTTACATTAAAGAGGCACTTGTAGGTCAGACAAATATAACATAACAGTTATAATGAAATAACCACAAATGTCTTTTCTGTGCTCACAGCATTATCAGTTTTATTCAACCCCCAAGTGACATTCAATCTTAGTACTTAGTACAGCATCCTTTTACAGTTATAACAGCTTTTAAACGTGAAGCATAGCTTGACACAAGTGTCTTGCAGCGATCTACGGGTATCTTCGCCCATTCTTCATGGGCAAAGGCCTCCAGTTCAGTCACATTCTTAGGCTTGCGCACTGCAACTGCTTTCTTTAAGTCCCACCAGAGGTTCTCAATCGGATTTAAGTCTGGTGACTGCGATGGCCACTCCAAAATGTTCCAGCCTTTCCTCTGCAACCATGCTCTAGTGGACTTGGAGGTATGCTTGGGATCATTGTCCTGTTGAAAGGTCCAACGTCTCCCAAGCCTCAGGTGTGTGACGGACTGCATCACGTTTCCATCCAATATCTCCTGGTACTGAAGAGAATTCATGGTACCTTGCACACGCTGAAGCTTCCCTGTACCTGCAGAAGCAAAACAGCCCCAAAGCATGATTGACCCTCCACCATGCTTCACAGTAGGCAAGGTGTTCTTTTCATCATAGGCCTTGTTCTTCCTCCTCCAAACATAGCGTTGATCCATGGGCCCAAACAGTTCTAATTTTGTTTCATCAGTCCACAGAACACTATCCCACAACTTTTGTGGTTTGTCCACATGGCTTTTGGCATACTGCAGTCGACTCTTCTTATTCTTTGGAGACAGCAAGGGGGTACGCCTGGGAGTTCTGGCACGGAGGCCTTCATTACGCAGTGTGCGTCTTATTGTCTGGGCTGAAACTTCTGTACCCACATCTGACAAATCTTTTCTCAGTTCCTCAGCAGTCACACGGGGACTTCTCTCCACTCTACGCTTCAGGTAGCGCACAGCAGTCGAAGTCAGCATCTTCTTTCTGCCACGACCAGGTAGCGTTTCAAACAGTGCCCTTTGCCTTGAATTTGCGAATGATGCTTCCTAAGGTGTCTCTTGGTATGTTTAACATCTTTGCAATCTTCTTATAGCCATTGCCCTTCCTGTGAAGAGAAAATCACCTCTTCTCTTGTCTTCCTGGACCATTCTCTTGCCTTCACCATGTTTGTAACCACACCAGTAAATGTCTAGAAGGAGCTGAGTATCACAGTCATTTTAAAGCTGCCTAATTGGTGCTTATTATGCTTGATTGCTGCTCGGTGACATCCACAGGTTTTCAATACCTGATGGAAAGCACCTGTATGAACCTCTGTTCTTCAGAGTGGTAGTCTTTAAGGGTTGAATAATTGTGGCAATGAAGAAACCACATAAGAACCATTTACTACTGTATTACATAAACAATTGATGTCATTTTAGTTGCATTTGGGTAGTTACAACGTCCTTGTAGGATTTGATTCTGAATACAATTCCAAATGTACACTATAGTCCCTAAACCCCTTTACAGCATTGGGGGTTGAATAATTTTGGTCACAACTGTATATACCTAAATATATACCTATGTTTTGAATTTGAAAAATCATATTTTATTTTTCCAATTAAGAAGGGTTCGGTGAACTCGCATATGAAACTGGTGGGGTTCAGTACCTCCAACAAGGTTAAGAACCACTGATCTACACCATATAAGAGCACATAAAAAAAATGAAGAATTTCTTTTATTCCGCCGTATCCCGCTCTGCTCTCCGCACGGCCGGCACTCGCTTCTTTTATTATCTGAAATCAATGCTCCATTTTGCCCTTGAAATTGTGTTAAAGTTTATTACTAAGACATCAATTTATATTTGATCGCATCCAACGGAGGGACTATTACAGGGAACTGAGGAGACTGGACGCTGTCATTTGTGGGGACGTACATTTTAACCACCTCCCATCCAGCCCATGTATATAAATGGCCTCCCCGCCCCCTGCTTGTGCGCGCTCCCTGGGAGCGCGCAGCACCACGATCCGGTGCCCCGCTGTGTCCTTCGGACACAGTGGAGCACCGATCTCTGTAAGGACTTCTGTGCGAGGTCCCGATCATGTGATCACTGATTGGCCAATCAGTGATCACATGAACAGTAAGCAAGCTGTCACTTCTGACATCATTGCTTACTAGGTGTGAAATCTGTGAATGATCACAGAGATCAGATGGTACAGGGCCATTCACAACAGCCTTGTACCATGTGACAGCTCACACAGTATTTCTCAATGGCTGCAAGAATGCAGCCAGAGAGAAGGCGAAATGATTGCTTTTACAGCCTTTATGAGTGTAAAAGCAATCAGTGTAAAATAAAAAAAAAGTCTTCATCACCCCCCACAAGTAGTACAGTGTCACCATGGTGACAGTGTACTGCTAGGGTGACAGTATGTAAAAATAAATAAATAATAATATAAAAAAAATAAAATAAGAATGTAAAAAAAAAATGTTTTTAAATTTAAATTTTTGGTTACAAACTAATTTGGGTTATTTTTTTGTTTTTTAAACAGAGATAATGGAATACATTTTGGCCAAGATTTATGATGAAATATTTATTTGCAAAATTTTATAAGAAAAACACCTTTTTTCAACATTTTTGGACTTTTTCATTTATATAGCATAAAAAATAAAAATCCCAGCGGTAAATAAATACCACCAAAATAAAGCTTTATCTGTCTCAAAAATGCTAAAAAATTCATATGGGTACAGTGTTGCATGACCGCGCAATTGTCATTCAAAGTGTGACAGCGCTGAAAGCTGAAGATTGGCCTGAACTGGAAGGGGGAAAGTGTCCGGACTGGAAGGGGGGGAAGTGTCCGGACTGGAAGGGGGTGAAAGTGTCCGGACTGGATGGGGGTGACAGTGTCCGGACTGGAAGGGGGTGAAAGTGTCCGGACTGGAAGGGGGTTGAAAGTGTCCGGACTGGAAGGGGGGAAAGTGTCCGGACTGGAAGGGGGTGAAAGTGTCCGGACTGGAAGGGGGGGAAAGTGTCCGGACTGGAAGGGGGTGAAAGTGTCCGGTCTGGAAGGGGGGAAAGTGTCCGGACTGGAAGGGGGTGAAAGTGTCCGGACTGGAAGGGGGGAAAGTGTCCGGACTGGAAGGGGGGGAAAATGTCCGGACTGGAAGGGGGGAAAGTGTCCGGACTGGAAGGGGGGGAAAGTGTCCGGACTGGAAAGGGGGAAAGTGTCCGGACTGGAAGGGAGTGAAAGTGTCCGGTCTGGAAGGGGGTGAAAGTGTCCGGACTGGAAGGGGGGGGAAGTGTCCGGACTGGAAGGGGGTGAAAGTGTCCGGACTGGAAGGGGGGGAAAGTGTCCGGACTGGAAGGGGGTGAAAGTGTCCGGACTGGAAGGGGGGGAAAAGTGTCCAGACTGGAAGGGGGGGAAAGTGTCCGGACTGGAAGGGGGGGGAAAGTGTCCGGACTGGAAGGGGGGGGGGAGTGTCTGGACTGGAAGGGGGTGAAAGTGTCCGGACTGGAAGGGGGTGAAAGTGTCCGGACTGGAAGGGGGTGAAAGTGTCTGGTCTGGAAGGGGGTGAAAGTGTCCGGACTGGAAGGGGGGGAAAGTGTCCGGACTGGAAGGGGGGGAAGTGTCCGGACTGGAAGGGGGAGGAAAGTGTCCGGACTGGAAGGGAGGGTGAAGTGTCCGGACTGGAAGGGGGTGAAAGTGTCTGGACTGGAAGGGGGGGAAAGTGTCTGGACTGGAAGGGGGGGAAAGTGTCCGGACTGGAAGGGGGGGAAAGTGTCCGGACTGGAAGGGGGTGAAAGTGTCTGGACTGGAAGGGGGGGAAAGTGTCCGGACTGGAAGGGGGGGAAAGTGTCCGGACTGGAAGGGGTGAAAGTGTCCGGACTGGAAGGGGGGAAGTGTCCGGACTGGAAGGGGGTGAAAGTGTCCGGACTGGAAGGGGGGAAATGTCCGGACTGGAAGGGGGTGAAAGTGTCCAGACTGGAAGGGGGTGAAAGTGTCCGGACTGGAAGGGGGGGAAGTGTCTGAACTGGAAGGGGGGGAAAGTGTCCGGACTGGAAGGGGGGGAAAGTGTCCGGACTGGAAAGGGGTGAAAGTGTCCGGACTGGAAGGGGGGAAGTGTCCGGACTGGAAGGGGGTGAATGTGTCCGGACTGGAAGGGGGGAAGTGTCCGGACTGGAAGGGGGGAAGTGTCCGGACTGGAAGGGGGAGAAAGTGTCCGGACTGGAAGGGGGGGAAGTGTCCGGACTGGAAGGGGGTGAAGTGTCCAGACTGGAAGTGGGGGAAAGTGTCCGGACTGGAAGGGGGGGGAAGTGTCCGGACTGGAAGGGGGTAAAAGTGTCCGGACTGGAAGTGGTTAATATGTGGGATTCTCATCTAGAAATAATGACCTTTTCTCTGGATTAACATGGAATTAAACGCTAAAAATATACAATTGCTGGGAGGTTGGGATTTTTGGTGGATGAGGCATGCAAAGTTTCTCAAGCCAAGAAAAGTTCTCTCTCTTTCCCTGTACATTTTTTATTTTCTGTGTACTCTGAACATTGCATGAGCTGTGCGCTGTCGGCTCATTTGGGCCGGGGGCTAAGGGCAATGTAACTTCTGTGTTCATGTTCAGGAACCATAAATCAGGCGGAGACAGAAAGTGCAGTTAAAAATCACACCTTTAACCCCCCTGGCGGTATTCCCGAGTGTATCTCGGGGTAAAGTTTTTAGCACAAGTGGTAACCCCCCCCGAGCTACACTCAGGAATACACTGCAGCATTGCTCAGGGATCCTTCCAGCACTTACCTTGTCCTGCGCTCCCGCGATGTCCCCCCTGCAGTGTCCCCTGTAATGTCCTCCGGCCGATGCCGGCATCCGTCTTCCGGGTTCCATTCCCTGCAACGTCGGGACATACGGGGGACGGAACTGGTGGGAAATTCAAAAATTTAAAAGTGACATTCACTAAATTCACTAAAATCACATCGTATAACATTCCTGTATCAAACCATTTCACATACATTGTGTCCCGAGTGCTTTGTCCGGCGCCCTGCCTGCATTTTTACTGTTCTTTCTGCCTGGAAACTGAGAAACGTTCGTGGCGTCCAAAAAGCGTCCCTTTAGGTCAGACGCGGTTTTAGACCGGCTAGAGAACAGCGATAGTAAATCAGAACCACTTGCAGAATTGAGTGATAATGATTGGTGGGGGAAATTCCTCATCAGACACTGAAAACGATTCTGCGACTGAGCTCAGTGATGGGCCAACTTGGCGCTCTATTTCACATTTCAGTGTTTTCAGTTTGATTATATTATTGAATTACATTTATTATTATTATATTATTATTTTTTTATGATTATTTATTATATTTTAATTTATGATTTCGTGTTTCAAATTTTATCCTCCCCGGGATGTTTACTAGACTCTTGTCCGGACAGATTTCAGGGAATTATTCCTACAATAAAAAAAATACGTATTTCCATGCAAAAAAAAGTACCACTTTGAGCACAGAAATACTGACATAATCAGACCGCTAGGGAGGTTAATGAAATGACAGAAATAACAGGAATGTAGTCAAAAACAGAAGCCAGGGTTTGGATGCCAGAGCGGGTAATCAGACGAGCCGGGGTCAGGAAACCAGAAGCCAGCGTGTAGTCAGGAGCTGAAACCAAATACAGGAATCGGAAGAGAAGTCAGCCAGACCGAATTATACACAGGAACACAGGCGGGAACACGCTGGGGATCATAGACCACGCAAGGGCAAGGAGGAAATGAGCTAAGCTGCTAAAATAGCAAAAAGGGGCTGGCTGTGGGCTGGACTAATGAGGCAGGTAATGGTATCCAGGTGAGTCGCTGTAGAGACAATGAGTGGCTGGTTAACCGGCAGCTGAGAGCTTCTGAGCACTGAAAGAAAAGTAGCAGGAGCCCAGCCCTGACACATCATCAGTAGCTGCCCAGTGGCTGAAGGATCTGTAGTTGAGATGGTGGCACTGGGGTGTAGCCAGGTGCAGTTAGCTAATCTGCCACTAGGTGGCCCTGTTCCAGAATAGTGTCTGGTTACAGAGGATAGTGTCATCAGATGCTAGGCTCCTTCTAGTGAGAGCCTTCCTGTAGTAAAGTCATAGGTAAGTCAGTGGCCAGTTACAAGGTAGGTTCTGAGGAGCCCCAGTGCAGTTGGGACATGGGATGCAAACTGCCCACTTCTATGCAGACCTAGCCAGTGGAGGCCCTGGACAGGGCTGGATGCTAGGGAGGAGTAGACCTGCACCCAGAAGAGCCCTCTGTAGACTCATGACCCTTATGGAGGTGGGAGCTATGGTAGGTTCTAAGAGGCTTTGTTGGCCAGGCCAGGACTTCCCTTAGTGAGGCTATTTCCCTGGAGGGTTCCAGGAGAGGTGTACCTAAGGAGGAGGTGACTGTAGAGATCCCATTCCAGTGAGTACTAATGACCCCGGGTGGAGAGAGAGATTTAAAGGAAGATGGCTTGCTTAAAGGACTGCATATGCTTTCACATGTGACTATTGCAGACCATCCAATAAATGTGGTTGACAATGTGAGCTAAGACAGTATGTCAATGTGACTGTTTACGTAATTTCCAAAGTAGAACTGGTAAAGTTCAGCTATTATGGGTATATAAAAGGGAATGCTGGGAGGAGGCCTAGAGTGGGCACAAGATGGCGGAGGGTTAAAGCCTCAGCAGGGGGGTCACTGTTCTAACAGGAGATGGCAGGGACTTGTGCTTCTGGCAAGCCCTTCGCAAGCCCCTCTCACAGGGGGATACAGCGGTGATGGGTCTGTGGACCTGGCATCATTGGAGAGCAGCACAAGAGGAGTACATACTTGCAGATTGTGGCAAAAGCTCCCCTCCCCCACCAACAAAGTGTGCTTTTGCTTTACACCATTCACGGACAATGAATTCCATTTTTTTTCTAGGACCATTTATTGGGTCATTAAAATGTAGTTTAGTGTAAAGCACAGAACTCATCAAAGCAAAGTCGCTGCACCCGAAGTACGGACATAAAACTATATATAGTCACAATGGTTCCAGGAATGCAAAGCTGCAAATGTCTTTTATGTTGTAGAGGGGAAAAAATAAGATGAAATTTGTGCAGATATTAACCTCTTGCTGACTGTGCAGTAAAAGTGGGCATTAATGCTCAGCTGCCACGTATGGGCATCCACGAATCCTGAGCTCACTGCGGGCTCCCAGCACACTGACCGAGCTGTCACCGACAGTCCCAGCCAAGCCTTCTGGTCAGGATATAGACTGGTGTAGTTTTCCCTCCCTGCATAGGTGGCGCTAGTAACCACCTACAGAGGTGCTGACAGCAAGGGGAGCCCATGTTCCTCTGTGGCCTCCATAGGTGTCATCAAGAGAGCAGCTGGGGTGAACGTAATGGAAAACTCTGCTCCTTGTAGTCATCCCAATGATGTGGTTTGTTTGTTTTTTTTATTATATTTTGACTTTAGTGCACCTTTAGTACCACACACACTATATTCCCCGCAGTACTGGGCCACCCGCCTTTCCACGCACATGAACTTTAATGGTCCCCCAGTCTTAGTCCTTAGGGTTCAATATTGAGTTGGCCCTCCAGCTGTTGAAGTACTACACGTCCCATCATGCCTCTGACTCTTGGAATCTTGCCTGTGGTTGTCAGAGTCTTGCAAGGCCTCAAGGGACTTGCAGTTCCTCAACACCTGGAGGGCCATAGTTTGGAGACCCCTGGCCCAAAGTATTGTTCCACCTGCCTTTCCACACACATGACCTTTAATGCTCCCCCCAGTCTTAGTCCGTAGGGTTCAATGTTGAGTTGGCCCCGCCCTTTGCAGCTATAACAGCTGGCGGCATGCTTTACACCACGGCATCCGACGCTTTGCATTGCACTTGGTGATGGAAGGCTTGGATGCAGCTGCTCGGCCATGGAAACCCATTCCATGAAGCTCTCTACGCACTGTTGTTGGGCTCATCTGAAGGTAACACCAAGTTTGAAGGTCTTTAGCTATTGACTCTGCAGACAGTTGGTGACTTCTGCGCACTGTGCGCTTCAGCATGCGCTGCCCCGCCCTGTCATGTGACGTGGCCTACCACTTGGTGGCTGAGTGGCTGTTGTTCCCAGTTGCTTCCACTTTGTTATAATCCCACTAACAGTTGAGCGTGGAATATTTAGTAGCCAGGAAATGTCCCGAATGGACTTATTGCCCAGGTGGCCACCTATCACGGGACCACGCTTGGAGTCACTGAGCTCCTGAGAGCGACCCATTCTTTCACCAATGTTTGTAGAAGCAGTCTGCATGCCTAGGGGCTTGATTGTATACACCTGTGTCCATGGAGGGGATTGGACACCTGAATCACA